TGATCAGCTCCACAAGATATCAAATCCTTTGTTATTCATTAAAACTTAATCCATATACAATTGAAGTATGATCAGTGATTGTCTAAGAGCACAACCATTCATTTGACTCTTACCACAACTTAATTGTCTTATCACTGCTACCAGATACAATAAGATCATCATCATCATTTATTACTAAACAAAGAATTTTGTTTGTATGTCCATTGATTTTCTATTTGTAAATCCATGAATCATTCTCATCCCCTTTCCATATCATAATTAAATTATCAACACTCCCAGATATAAACTGATTCGATTTGTTCATAAAATTCAAAGTAAAAACATAATCATTTGTGTTCACTTAAAATTTAAGTTTATTTCAACATACCTAAATTAAATTCAAACACTTTAATTTATCTTTGACTAGTAGCAATCAATATTGAACAATCTTTATTAATAGCAATTGCTCTACATTCTTCATTTTATTGAATTTTGTGGTATCAATTTATAAATGAATGGTTTAAGATTTGATTGTGTAGATGTGAGTGTTGATGATTTCTGAATAGTTTATGAATTAGTGGATTATTAAATTTGATGTTAAAAAGTATTTTTGATTAAACAAGTCACTTCTTATTTGATTTCTTTTGAGAAACTGTCATTTTTGAATTTAAATACATAATTCTAATTGACTTTTGATAAATCACATTATAATTAAGATATTATTATAGGATTTGATTCAATATTAAGAATTTGATCAAGTTAGGCATCAATCTTATTAAATGATAACTATTTCAATTTATTAATAATTTTTATACCTCCACTGCTTATTATAAGCCTTCTATACATTCATTTACTTTTCTCTGGTAATTTTAACGTATATTCTCTATTTCTTTGAGCATATATTATATTACTTTAATTTATAATTAATAAGAATAGAATCCAATTAATTATTATGTGATGTATTTCTATTAATCAAATGAATTTCTGAATGAAGCATTTCTATTTTGTGAGGAAATTGATTTTAGAAGGTAAATTCATTTTTAATTCACATAATTTCTAAGAAATCTGAAAGAAATTATAAAAAAATATGATCATTTTGGTAATTAGTTGATTCTATTAATCAATTTAAAGTTTAGAATGTTTATAACAATATTATTTATAATGAGTTTAATAATGACTTATTCTCATTATAATGACTTTCATTAAAGTTCTTTAGAATTCAAAAAAAAAATCAATTTCTAAAATTTCTAAATATTTTGAGATCAATTTAAAATTAATTCTTAGATTGATTTCAAATATTAAGTAAAAAAAGGTTTATTATATATTGAATTCATTATTGATCAAATAGAACATTAAACTTTGATTAACTTAAGAATTCAATTAACAAAATATGAGTTCTATCAACTATTAATAGCTTATCTCATAAAAAACAAGATGAAGAAATTTTTTGGAAGTATTATAGTTTTAGTAGATCTGATTAAAAATAAAGAAGCTCAAAATTTCATTAGCTTATAATTAATTATGACAGATGGCTTCACTAGTGACACAGTCTGTTTTGGAGATTTTACAGCTTAAATTTTTGATTTCGCTGCCATCAATACTTCAAATTCTCTTTCACCCACAAGGCGGTTGCGCCAGCCTCCAAACA